CCCTTTCTGCACCCTCAGCTGGAGCAACCACTACCGAAATCCTCTGTTCAGCAATAAAAAAAAAATCCAGTTTTGGGCAAGGGAACCGCTCTCCCACTTCATTCCCCAACTTTGCCTTTGCACCGTCCGGCGAGTCCAAATGGGGATGCAGCAATCCAAGGAGGAGCTGCTGTACCAGCAGGTGAACTACGGCAACATCGAGGGGATTCGGAACCTCCGGGCGCAGGGCGCAGGCGTTGAGGCAAGGACAGCGATTCCCACAGCATTCTTAGTTTGGACCTAGGAATTAGATCAAGTCTATTGTGGTCTTGTAAAGCTGGGAATCAAGTGAGTTAACTTTTCTTGTTGGGGTTGAATTTCTTGCTTGCTTGCAGTGGATTGACAAGGAAGGGAAGACGCCCCTGATGGTCGCCAGCATGCGCCCTGATCTGTTGAATGTGGCTAAAGCTTTGCTTGAGTTGGGTGCAAATGTGAATGCATATCGGCCTGGTATGGACGCTTTTCTCATACCAAACTTAGCGTCTTCGCTTTAGTTGATTATCTCCATTATTCCTAGAATGTATAACAGGGGATTTTTCTGGATGGAGTGGAGTGAGTACCAATTTGTTGTTATTCTTAGTTTGGACCTAGGAATTAGATCAAGTCTATTGTGGTGCTTCAACCAAAAGTAAGTTTTATAAGAAAAAAAACCCAAAGTGAGTTGATTTTCATACGACCATAGCCCAAAAGTTTTAAAGTTGTGCATACTTTGGGATATGGAAAGGACACCTTGAATTTTCTAACTATAATTTCTCACTCAAATAGAAACCAGCACAATATGTGCGCAAGTAAAAATATAGCCTATGTTTAATTAGGTTTGAGGATTGCATGCCATGCAAAACAGAATCAACTCAATCAAGGGAACTGTAACATTACAGTATTGATTGACTTGCACCGTGCCAACTCTGCTTTAACGAAATGTGATCCTTCTATGTTAAACAAATTAGAATCCATAGGATTCTTACTGGATGCATGCTAAATAAAATAGGTTATCATTTTTTTGTCGCATTGTTGTAATGCCTCCCTTTTCTTTTTCTGTTTGTAGGATCACACGCTGGGACTGCATTGCACCATGCTGCCAAAAAAGGACTCGATCCGACTGTCCATTTACTTCTCTCACATGGAGGTTTATGATGCTGCTGTAGTACCATGTATCAATTGTTTGCCATTTGAATTTTGTACGTTAAAAAACCTTCTGTTTATGATTTATTTGCAGCTAACCCATTCATAACAAATGATGACTGCAATACCGCACTTGACCTGGCTAGAGAAAAGGGTCATGTGAACGTTGTAAGGGCCATAGAGGTATATTTTTTACTTCACGTCCTATTTTGCTTTATTATACTTCGATTTGACTTGCACATTTTCGTTTGTTGCTATTTGTTCTTTAAGTTGTTTATTGGTTGCTATTTCGTTCTTCATTATCTTCAGGGACGGATTTCTCTTTTTTCTGGATGGATGAGGGAGAATTATGGTCCTGGTTTCTTGGAAGCGTTTGCTCCTCAGTTCATGACTAGGAAGATGTAATATTCCCGTGAAACTTCATCGCGTACCACAAGCACATAGATGTGAGTATGTTTTACGTGTCTCTAACCTAAGTTAAATCTTTTCCCCAGTTGGGCAGTGATTTTACCACGTGAAGCACGGAGCCCGACAAGACCTGTCAAGCTTGAGTTAGCTATATATCCTGAATTGCAGGTATGAAAGTCTGCTAAAATGCTGCTTTGGTATGGTGTAGCCTAGTAATGTTTATAATGCTGGATATGTTGACATATTCATATCACCCGCAAAGTGAACAACTCTTTTATGGAACTCTTCCTATTTAACATGAGATAAGCAGTAATGTAATTATTGACCTCTCATTTGTTTCTAGTGTATGCTTCCCACATTGTCTAGTTCAGTAATCACTAACCAGTAGCATTTGTCATATTATTTGTGTTGAAATTTGAGTTTCTGGAGAAAATTGCACATAACTGGCCTTTTATTATTTGATACATGACAATGTCTCTATTTTTTTTTTTGATTTCTTGCACATGAATTGAGATTCACAACAGTTATTGTGGCACAATATACTCAGAAGGGTGATTGGTTAGTTAATCCATGCACTTGCATAGCTCCTGCAGCACCTTCTCCAATCCTCCTGATTAGGTTGTTGGTTTGCACCTGGTAACCGGATCGACGGATGAAAAAAGGAAGGTCTATAGAAACATGCTTTCCCCGTGTGCAGCCTTGGAGTCCGCACCACTTAGGGGATTAGTCTAGTAATTAGTATGTATATTGATTATTCCTTAAATATGAATTAAGGTATATTACAAATGTCTTAATCCACAATAATAAAGTTGGGATAGTGCATTTAGTTTGTTTTCGTAACATTCTTAATTCTAGTCAATCATTTTTTACCAGCGTCACCTCACACATCCAACCAGAGAACCTATACTTGCATCTTGTTAAACCAGCTTGTCCCGAAGGAAAACCTACACCTACTTTCATTTTGTTATATATTTGTGTTAGCTATTTTTATTGTATTTGTGTGTATATATTTTATGAAGTTTCTTATTATTTGTAACATACTTTTTATGAATAAACAGGCTGCTAAACCTCGTGTTGTTGTCAAACTTTGGAAATCTCAACTTGAGGAACCAAAGTATAATCTGGCTGATCCTTCCATGACAATTTTTGACAAAGTTACAAGTACGTGCAATATTTCATCTTTTCAGTTTATGCAAATTTGAATTGCATGTTTGTGTTGTTGGTTACATGCTTTATCAATCTTTGCCATTTTACTGCAATTTAATATCATATGGCCATCTCACTAAAAAAATTATTTGCTGAAAGAGCAGAACACAAATTCTTGTGTGGTGGATTACTCAAATTTATTCTTTTATTTATCACTCTTTGGCATGGAAACACGAGGTTAGAGTTAGGACTTGGGAGATCTATTCTTTTTTTTGAGGAACTCATGAGTTTGGTTTTACCCTACAGGAGAACGAAAATAACTACAACCACACACATAGTCATGTATGCTTTATCACTCTTGTTGTTTGCACATTAAATTATCTCACATAAAGCTAGTTCGTTATTTCTACATTGTAGTGATTCCTCCTGCTCTCTACATCGCTCGTGCACACATGTATGTAGTGATTCATTTTGCTCTTCTTTTTTTTCCGAGAAAATGCAAAGGGCTTTTGCATTTCATTGCATTGAAAAGGTAGAGTTTTGATACATTCCTCCTAGGAGGTCAATTACAAATGAGGGTCAGTGAAACTAGTGCACGTCCCAGGTGGGCGGCAGAATGACGCGTAGGCCGTGGGCGCCCGCTCTTGCCCACTGCTCAGCTTCCTCTTTGATCTTCGAGACCAGCACCTGAACCAGGGGCTGGGCGCCCTCGAAGATGCATTCGTTGCGCTGCTTCCAGATCATTCGTGGTGTCAACAGAGCAATGGAGGCTAGGCCCTTACGGACCAGTGTTGGCGTGTTTTGCTTGGCCTGCAGCCACCAGTCCATGAGTGAATCTTCGTGGCTTGGCCCTGCAGTGGTCATCCGTAGCCAGGATAGGATTTCATGCCAAGTCTGCCTGGCGAAGGGGCACTCCAAGAGGAGGTGGCGCATTGTCTCGGGAGCCTGGTCACAGAGTGGGCATCATGGCTGGTGCTGGAGACCGCGTCTAGCCAAGTGGTCGGCCGTCCAACACCGGTCTTGGTTGGCCAACCAGTGGAAAAACTTCACTCTTGGCGGCGCCCAATTCTTCCATATGAGCTTCCATGAGAAGCAAGTCATGGATCCCTGGTAGGTGGCAAGATAGCAGGAGCGAGCAGAGTATATACCGGAGGCCGTCCATCTCCAAACTAGCTGATCAGGGGTGTCTGAGAGCGTGATATGCTCGATCGCCAGCCAGACTTGAAGGTACTGGCCAATCTCGTGTATGCCCAGGGTCCCGTGAATGTCCCTGGCCCAGCTATGGCCTTGCAGTCCTTCAGCGACGGTCTGGATTTTGCGCCGGTGCTTGGGTATGCACTTGTAAAGTGCCGGGGCTATCTCACAAATGGACTGTCCATTTATCCAGCGGTCTTCCCAGAAATATGCCGTTGTTCCGTTTCCGAGGGTCATCGTGGTGGACGCGAAGAAGAGCGCTCGCTCCTCGGCAGAGAATTGTAGGTCCAGGCCATTCCAGGCGCGCTCATGGTCAGTGCGCGAGAACCATAGCCATCGTAGCCGCAGAGCAAGGCTAGCGCGCTCCAGATCCTGGACTCCCAGGCCTCCGTTCGATATGGGGCGGCAAACGCGGCGCCAGTTGACATGGCAGTGGCCTCCGTTGGCGGCAGCGCGGCCAGCCCACAAGAAGCAGCACTCAATCTTCCAATTTGACGAAGCGTCTTCTTTGGCGGCGCGTAGGCGAGTAGTTGATGCACGGGGATGGCACTCAGCACGGACTTCACCAGTGCAAGTCGCCCAGGTTTGTTCATCAGGTTGGCCTTCCAAGCGGGGAGCCGGCCGGCAATCCAAAGTGCATATCTCTGTGCAAATGTTCTGTTGGAAAACGGACTATAGGTACTTCACATTTTTTAGTGACGTTTCATTACATTTTATATACTTATTGCATGGCTGTCTGTAAGAAAGTACCTTTTATTATTGTACATAGCATGTTTTCTGTCAGATGGCCTGCACTAAAATGTTACTATGTTGCAAATAAAACTTGGACTTTTGCTGCCAGGTCATGCTGTTCTAATTTACATTTGAATATTTGCAGAATCTAGATACAAGCTTTTACCGGCTTATGAAGGTGACAAGCAGCAGCTTCGATCATTTTACAGTGCATGTTGTGGCATGGCACAGGTGATATAAGCTAAACTTCCTGAAATGTTTCCCCTTGCTAATGAATTTTCTGTCTCAAGATCTGAGACAGGCTCTAGTTATTCTTGCTATGTTCTGAACTAGTTTGGAAGATTAATCTTCAGTTTTCACAGTTTTCATTTGACCAACATCCTCTTATAGAATGTGTGTATACGAGTACATAGCTCAGTAACCAATAATTATGATGCAAATACATTTTTTTTGAACTAATGTTGAACTAAAGTTTGGTTTGTGTTGATGAGAATCAACAAAATTTGTTAACTTCAGTATAGAAAAAACAAATAATCTAATTATGCATAGATCCTCTTTTGTTAGGTTGCCAGCATGGTTCCTGCACGACCAGTGAATGCCCCCAGTCCAAATCCAATTCCAAATCCGTCTTTGGCGCCTTCAGCGGAATTGACTCCCAGTAAGGAGGATGTTGAGTTAGCGATGGCTATCAATGCCTCCATCCAATCAGCTATAGCAGAGGGAGTGCCCAATGTGCAGCCAATGACATCAACGAACAGCTCTCTCAACGGATGGGGCTCACCAGATTCTCCAGCGCCTTCAAAAACGAGTGGCCAAGCACAGGGTGATGCTCCAAGCAGCAGCAAATACAATGGATGGGATGTACCTGGAACAAGCTCTAACCAAAGTTCATCGAAACCTAACAAAAGTCAAAATAACAACCCTTCGATTGCGATTACACCTGAGGCACTTCCGGTTCCAACACCAACTGCACTTCCGGTTCCAACACCAACTGTACTTCCAACTCTTCCAACACCAACTGCGCCACCACTTGCTGAAGGAACCTTCTACGATGGCCCTATTGAGTATCCGTCCATAGATTTCACACCAGTTGATGTAACCATGCCACCCACGGAAGGTGGTGGTACGGCGCTAAACTCTGCAAAACCTGTAGAAAATGAAGCCGGTGCAAGCAGCAGCGGTAACACCCCCTCTGGTACTTGTGTGATTTGCTTGGATGCTCCTGTGGAAGGAGCCTGCATTCCATGTGGTCACATGGCTGGTTGCATGTCCTGCTTGAAGGATATCGAGTCGAAGAAATGGGGGTGCCCCATTTGTCGTGCCAAGATCAACCAGATTATCCGCCTGTATGCAGTTTGAACAGCTAAAACAATGAAGCAGCATGTCACAGCATTGATGGATGCTTCCCCCTATTAAGTTCTGATATGAGAAGTAATGTTATATTGCTGTTGCAGGTGTACTATTACAAATTACTCCACACCCTATTAAGTTCTATGTGATCTTGAAGCTACAACACTGAAGGCAACTTATGTATATAGTTTTAAGACTTTCTATTTTGTACCGAAGAGTGTGGGCGTATTTGTCATGATCAGAGAGATTCAGCTGAACTGCTTTTGCTTTCATGGTATCGAGTATTGCTTCTGCTAGGTTACGAAGCTAGTTATCCATACGGCCTTAGAGCACCTGCAAATGCTGGCTTCGGACGAAAATGCCAAATGGAGGCTGAGCTCCATGGAGGCCTTAATTTTGTAAATTTCAAATTCATACTTTTGTGTTTCATTCTTTTTTTTTGAAAAAAATATGCATATACCCGGAGACATAATGTACATATGTGTAAATTTTCATGATGAAATATTTTAAAATGAGAGCTACAAAAAGAAACACAAATATGTGGCTTTTCATCACATGTATTGTTCATTCTCTAAGTCCATGTTTTTTTTGTGCAACTCGCAATTCAAGGTGTTTGATCATGAAATTTTACACACATATACATTACATCCTTGTATACATGTATATTGTTTTTCAGAATTTTCTAAACTGAGAAGTTTGAATTTTGAATTTTTCAAAATTAAGGCCTCCATGGAGCTCGGTATCCAAAACACCCAACTCTGCTTTAACCCCCTTTTTTTGTTGTGCTCCCTCTATCTGAGTTTATAACGTGGGCACATGATTTTCAGTCTTTATTTTGACTAATAAATTATATGTAATATGTCGAAAAAGTATATGTTACAGACTTTACTCATTTTAAAAAAAATCTATGATATGTCATCAGTGTATAGAAACTAAGGAAGGATTAATGGGCTACTTGACTAATTAATGCTTGACTTGTTAATCTCATGTTTGTTAAGCTTAATGAGCAAAAGCTTGCTCGTTAGGCTCATGAGCATTCATTAACCACTATTGTACAAACATCTAATGAGGGAATGAGGGAGAGCGCTCGTTAACAAGTATTGCACGAATAAGGGGATAAGAGATGGTACACGTTTGTTGTTGAAGCCTAGGCAACCAAAGACGAGAAGCATGGATGCCCATGGGCCTTGGTGGCTGAAGTCCTAATCGTCCCGTCACCAGTTCTTCTTTCCTCATTTTGCTTTGGATGCGAGATTACAACTTATGTAACTAGAGTGTGGCTCTGCTTTTTAACGAAAGGAAATAGTCACAACAAGAAGAGGTGTGCTAATTGATGTCTCCTATGGGTGGACAGTGTCGACATGGGCTAAATAGGCTAGACTAACATGAAACTACTCGCACTCGAACATATCAGCGTGTGTCCCAAGCGTCGAGCACGCTATGTAAGGCATGTCGGAAGAGGAAGCCTCGTCGAGACCGTTATATGTAAGACACGATGTCGAGGTTTCTTGAAGGTTGAGAACACACATGCATGGGAGGGATCCGTTTGGGAGCGTGGCGGCTATGGGCTGCCCTCGGTTGGCCTAACTATCCCTATAGCCTCAAGGTTGTCGAATACGACGAACAACAAAGAACGGGGAGCAAACAAAAATGGTATCGGATTGATTTATTCAATTGTGTCTTGTATCAACCGTCCATCATCTCTCATCTACATATGAGGCGACTGGATTTTTAGTACAAGAAAAACTCTCAAAATCCTATCCTAAACATCAAACCTATCTCAGCGTGGACAAGTGAGCTTAGAACCTCCGGGCATCTCAAAGGCATCACTTGGGAACCTCCAGGGTACTCTGAGAATGTTGTTGCAAGTTTTTGATCATCCCAGAGGCTCAAGGTTGTTTGGAACCTTCAGGCTATTTTTTCATGTACACTTTTACAACTTCTTGCAAATTCCAGAGGTAGCCCGGAACCTCTAGGACCAATCTTTTATACAAGTCAATATTTTTCATGTAGAGGTTGCATATGCTTTTGGGTTAAGATGATTCAAAGAGGACATATGCTCACCTGGACTAGGTGCGTAACTTTCATGTTGAGTACTTTTTTTATTTGACATCATCTTAAGGACGATTTCATGCAAGCAGAATTGGTCATCAACACATGCCCCTCTCCCATGTTATTCCAGAACGCTTGCCGCAAAAAAACTGATTAATACAATTTTTTTCAAAATATCTGGAAAGGTATTCAAGAATAAAATGTTCACGAATTGAAGAAGTTGTTCAAGAAAAAATTAGAAAACTTTTAGATTTTGAAAACATGTTCCCTAATTTCAAACAATGTTCACGGATTTAGAAAATATTCAAGGATTGTAAGGAATGTTCACGAATTAAAAATCAAAAACTTAAAAAATGTTCGCAAAAATTTAAAATGTTCCTGATTTTTTGTTTAAAAATCATCATTTTATTTAGTTTTAGGAATTTTGAAAAATATTTCTGAATTTCAAAAACAAATCACGAGTTCAAAAAATATTCCTGAATTAAAAAAAATCATTTTTTTAAAAGCACGAATTTGCAGAATGTTCTTTAATTACAAAAAAATCATGAATTCAAAAAGTGATCGCAACTTTAAAATTGGAAAAGAAAAATACGGAAAAACAAAGAAGAAAACTACTAAATCCAGCAAAGAAACACATAGGGAAAACAAAAAAAATGTTGGGGAAAAAACAAAAGAGCCGCATTGGGCCAACTCATATAACTCTCTGACGGATATCTGATTGGTCGTTTGCTAAAGGGTTACACGTCAAATAGGATCACCATGTATCATCTACCGGGAGCGGTAGGAGGACCTTGGGGCTAGGCCTTGGCTCCTGCATCTTCGCATGATGTGAAACTTCCTGAACTATTTTCCTATTATTTTTCGTCAGAATTTTTATAGGTATTTTTCTCAAACTGAAAAAAACAGGAACTAGCACTTGTCACTTGATTAATATGTTAGCCCCTCCGCAAAAAAAATGTTAGCCCAATAAAAGTTGATACAAAGTATTGCCAAAGTGTATGTAATTGCTAGAAATATAGCATGAATCATACGACAATTATAGATACCTTTAAGACGTATCAAGGAACAACCGCCCCACTGTAATGTCCATGATGTGGTCCTAGTCTCAACAAATACTTTGCAATCCTCGCTAAGGCTAGAAGCGCATATTGGTCGCCCCAACATATGATTTCATAGCATACACGCACTGTCATATGCTGGTGAAAAAAGGTGGAATATCTGTTGGGGAACGTAGCAGAATTTTAAAAAATTTTACGCATCACCAAGATCAATCTATGGAGTAATCTAGCAACGAGGGGAAGGAGAGTGCATCTACATACCCTTGTAGATCGCTAAACGGAAGCGTTCAAGTGAACGGGGTTGATGGAGTTGTACTCGTCGTGATCCAAATCACCGATGATCCTAGTGCCGAACGGACGACACCTTCGCGCTCAACACACGTACAGCCCGATGACGTCTCCTACACCTTGATCCAGCAAGGGGAGAAGAAGAGGTTGGGGAAGACTCCATCCTGCAGCAGCACGACGGCGTGGTGGTGGTGGAGGAGCGCGGGACTCCAGCAGGGCTTCGTCAAGCACTACGAGAGACGAGGAGGAAGAGGGGTAGGGCTGCGCCAACAGGGGAAGGACTTCATGTGTTGGGCTGCCCCTTTGCCTCCACTATATATAGGGGGAGAGGGAGGGCTGCGCCCCCACCTAGGGTTTCCACCCTAGGGGTGGCGGCAGCCC